TTCCCTCTCCCTCCTCCCTCCCTCCCTCTCCCTCCTCCCATGAGGCAAGGGGGCTTTGAAGCAACTAGTCATGGCCTCTCCACAATTCTGCTGCTTCCCAGTGGTCTGACTTTGGGGAAGTTCCTCAGCTCCTCTTGAGTTTAATTCTCTCCATCTGGACATTGAAAATGTTGGCTCCAGCTTCCTAAGGCCGCATGCGCATGCATGCATTAGATGCGATGCTGAAGCTAAAGGACACCCAGCAGGCGCTTGGTAGAGGCCAGTCTCCCTGACTGCCAGTTGTTCTTCCCCATCTAGAGAAGTGCCCTGCTTTGCTGTGTCAATGAGGAGAGGGACAAGCACAGAGAGGGACAGGACTTGGTTAAAGCCACACAGCATTAGTGGTAGGGCTGGGGCCGGGACACTGCTCCCAGCCGGGTGCTCCCTCCACTCCTCAGCTTCTGCCTAGGGTGCTTGGGGGACCACAGGGACTTCTTTAGGGATTCTTTTCTTCAGTGGCCAGTGGCCCAGCTATACCACAGGTGAAATTGGCTCAAAGAAAGAGCTGAGAAAAGATTTAGCCATTCAGAGGCCCAGGGAGGAAGCTGCCTGTGTGATGGAAGGAGAGGCAAATCCTGCCTCTCGTTCTGTCCCTTCCCCTTTTCCGCAAAGGTCGTGTCCGGCTGGGAGGAAGGGTCTGGAGGGATCACAGGGGAAACAGAATTCGGCTGGCCGGGCCCAGCCCTAGGAAAGTCTAACCCCATCTGCTTACCCCTGAGCAGCCAGGTAAACCTGTACATCCCAAAGGTGACCATCTCCGGAGCCTATGACCTCAGTGCCATCCTGGGGGACATGGGCATTGCAGACTTGCTCGACAAGGGGGCAGATTTCTCCGGCATCACCCAAGAGGCCCAGCTGAAGTTGTCAAAGGTAAGTGGCCCTAGAGTCCATCTTTTCCCCAAAAATTCACAGTATGAATAATAATAAGGAATGCAGGGCCCCTTCATGAATAGGTCTCTAAGCCCCAGGTTGAGAGCCCCAGGTCTTCTCCACTCTTACTACAGGGTAAATGGAGGCTCAGTGGGAAAATGTGACGTTCCCACAGTGACGACACGGGAGCTAGGGACAAGGGTGGGCCCCCCACCAAAATGGATCCGGGAAAATGGGAAATGTCCGAACGCAGTGCCATCAGACAGTCTACCCACTACATTCTTTCCCTTCATTCTTTAACTTTATGCTCTATGGGTCCCTCAGTCATTCTGAACATACTTATTGGACGCCCACTCTGTGCCCTGAACTGCTGGGCACCGGGAATGCCTGCATTACTGAGACGTGGCGGGATCTCACGGTCGGGTGGGTGACCAAGCCAGAGAGGGGACAGGAGACAGCTGAGGTGGCAGCAGCCCCTCCCTCAAGCACACAGACTTGGACCATCGTGGCACCTGGCCCCCAGTATGTGCTCCATAAAAGCTTGCTGTGCCAAGGATTGAGTCAAACAGCCACCTCCTTATAAGGGGAGCATTATTTCTCAAAGGAGGAGCCTCTGGCTTGAACCACGCACTCACCAGGGCCACAGAGCGGGTAAATGACAGCCTGACGTTTGGCTTGGGGTCTACTCGACTCAAAACCTCATTTCCCAAGACAAACCACGGGGCTTCCTACCCCAGCTCAGCTTCTTCCTGCACCTGTTGACAGAGCTTCTCAGAACCTCCAGCTCCTCGCTCTCCGGTCAAGGAGAGCCCCTGCCCCCAGAGGATGTTGATAATTAGCCAGTTCGGATCCACTGAAGGCGTTTGATAGAAGCTATGCAAGCATTTTGCCAATTTCAGAATTCCTCCTAATTTTGATCACAGCAAGAGACAGTTCAACAGCCCCTTTCCATTCTGAGTAGGCACAAGCACTTTGCAGAAATGGGCCCCTAGTGTTTGGCTAGCAGGGTGCAAAAAGGAGCGAGGTCTGCCTTGCCCAGGACCCAGTAAGGAGTGCCTGATGTGGACATTGAAGTCCAGTGAGTACCGTGGGACCCCTGATCTCCCTGTCTGGGCTCCATCTGCCCTCTTTCTAGGGAAGAAGTCTAGGTGTGAGCTGCGTTCTGGAGGTGGACACACCTTGGCCCTCGTCCTGGGGCTGCCACTTAGATGAGGAGCCAGCAAGTGACCCTCTCTGAGCCTCAGCTTTGCCACCCATAAAACTAGGGGTGGGAGGGATGGAAGCGATGAGGCATGGCAAGCTCCCAACACACAGCAGGTGTTCAACCTCCACCTTCGGCCCCGTACCCAACAGGTGGTCCATAAGGTTGTGCTGCAACTCGATGAGAAGAGCTTCAAGGCAGCCGAATTCCCCATGGTCATGCTAGACATGGCATCTGAGCCTCTCACCTTCCACTTCAACCGGCCCTTCATTATTATGATCTTCGACCACTTCACATGGAGCAGCCTTTTCCTGGGCAAGGTTGTGAATCCGACCTAAGGGCACGGCCCCCAGGAGCCACAGCCCCAGCTGACCTGCACACGAGGGAGCCCACAGAAACACTCTGGGAGGTGGGAGTCCCCCCCCCCCGCCCTGTCTTCTCCAGGTTCTTCTGTCCAAATAAATTACCATCACTACAACTGCTGGTAGGTGTGGTTGAAGGGACAAAGTGGGACCAGTGACAAACTCGGAATGATAGCATGCGATCTTGCGCCCCTGTAATTTCCTGGTGTTGATCATCGTGCTGTGGTTATGTAATATGTGGAAGCTGGGGGAAGGATATATGGAAACACTATTGTTTTTGTAAATGTTTGTAAGTTTGAAATTATTTCTAGAAAAGGAGGAAATCATGCAACCCCAAACATGACAGAAAGACATCTTAAGTGCTAGGGGAAATGTTGTGACATCTTCAAAAAAGAAAGAGAAAGAAACAAAGCAATCCTTCAAAAATGAAGGCAAAATAAAGGTTTTTTTTTTTTCCAGACAAACAAAAGCTGGGAAAGTTTGTCACCTTCCCTAAAGAAAAGTTTTAAGTAGTTTTTCAGGCTGAAACAAGATGATGCTCAGTGGAAATTTAGACCTACACAAAAGAATGAAGAGTACTGGAAAGGGCAAATATGCGAGCAAATAGAAAGCATTGTTTAAAATATCTTTAAAATATAATTAACTGTCTAAAGCAAAAATAGTGATCAGTTTGTTTCTTCAAGCTCCAGCGCTCCCTTTATCCACTGCTCTGCAAAAACTGGATCTGGACATGATTTTAACCTTTGTCGGTAGAGGGCGATAGAGACACGTTGCCGGAGGAAGAGGCTTCCCCCTCCTGCTTTGGGGCAAAAAGCATTAAATGAGATAAAGAAGAATTAGATGATAGATAGATAGATGATAGATGATAGATAGACGATAGATAGATGATGATAGATGATAGATATAGATAGATGATAGATAGATGATGATAGATGATAGATAGATAGATAGATAGATAGATGATAGATAGATGATAGCTGGACTGATGATTGATGATAGATGACGGATAGAGGAGCGTATGTCTTGAGAAGTAAGAATTGAAGTACACTTCCCTAAAAATGCCTATTTATACCTTCCATATATAGAAGGTATATATAGACCTGAATCCTAAAACCATCATCTTACTTAATAAGAAAACACTAAATGCGTTCCCACTAAGGTCAAGAGTAAGACAGGGCTGTGTTATATCCATCACCATTTCACATTGTCCTGGGGGCATTAGGCCACGGAGTTAGACAAGAGAAAGCAGAGGGATGGAATGGGGAAAAATGAAGTACAACACTCCTTGCAATCCACCTGCAGAACCCTAGCAAATTAGTGCTAAAACAAACTCATGTAACAAAAGAATTCAGCAAGCCGTCAGACTATAGCATCAACATGCAAAAACATGAGCCTTCAAATACACAAATCACAACCAGTTAAATAACGGAGGAGAAAACCCAGTTGCAACCAAAAAAAAAAAAAAAAAAAAAACTACTTAGAAATAAACAAGAAATATGCAGAATCTGCATTGAGAAAATTATGACACGACTCCTTAAAGATGCAAAATCAGACTTGAACAAATGGAAAGGTACTCCTTACATAAGATGCCTCAGTATCACCTGGATATCTGTCTTCTCTGGTTCATTTAACAATTCGATGGTATTCCAATAAAAATAGTAGCAAATATTTTTTTCTCTGGAGACAGACAAGAGGATCCTGAAGTCCAGATAGAAAGATAAAGATAAAGAGCCAGGAAAACACTGACAAGGAAAAGATATGGGTGAGGGTGGGGAGGGTAGGGGACCAGCCTGAGCAGATATTAAAGCAAACCACACAGATGCTCTAATTAATTCTGTGGCGCTGGAACATAAATCTGGGGTCAGCCCAGGGAGACTGGAAATAGACACCAGTGCACGTGGAAATTTAATATTCGAAAAAGAAAGACTTTTAAATAAATGGTATTGGGACAACTGGATAGTCATTGGGGGGAAAAAAGATACAAGTAGATCCACTCTTTACACCATACATAAGAATAAACTAAGAATCAGAGATTTATGTGGGAAAAAAAAAAGAAAGAAACTATAGGAGTACAAGAAGAAAGCACCGGTCAATTCCTCTACAATGTAGGTGTAGGAAAAGGTTTTCTGCCCATGACTCACAGTCCAGATGAAATTAAAGAAAAGATTGGCTTATTTGACTACATAAGAAGTATTTTTTTTAAACACCCAGTCAAAAATTCATAAGCAAAGTCAACAGAAATGAAAACTGGAGGGAATATATTTGCAAAGTCCGTCACTGATGAAGAGCAGCTATCCCTCACTTGCGGCTGCTGGAATATATGAAAACATGTTCATCCTCATTTCTAATTTTTAAGAAATGCAAAATAAAACTCCGTGGAGGTGCCATTCCCTGTCTGCCGGATTGGCAAAGCTGCGAGAGCTTCCCAGCACACCCCGCTGATGGTGGGGAGACCATGGGGCACGCAGCGCTGGTGGGCACACTAACGCCCACTGTGGAGCAGGAGATTGGCAATACGTAACTTACTCTCGTCCTACAACTGATGCAATCAATCCCCACACTCGAGGTGGCTTCACACACAGAAATAAATTCTTTCACAGTTTTGGAGGCCAAAGTGGGAGCATAAGGGGTCAGCGGGGTTTTTCCTGCAGGAGGCTTGGGGACAGAACCCATTCTTAACGACTGAGCCACCCAAGCGCCCCGATCCAGGATGATCTTAAGATCCTTGCCTTAATTCCATCTGCAAAGACGCTCTTGTGAAATAAGGTCACAATTCATAGGTCCCTGGAGTTAGGATGTGGACATAGCTTTTCAGGGACCACGATTCAACCCAACACATATAACAAAAACACAGATATATTGGCTTTTGATCCAGAAATTCTAGAAATTTAACCTAAAGACAAATCTCCCACAATTTTTAAAGAATAATCTGCACAAGGTTATTAAGTGGAGCATTATTTGTAATCACAAAATACTGGAAATTACTTAAATGGCCAAACATAGGCAATTGGTTGAATAAACAATGGGGTACTATGAAGTTGTAAAAAGTAGTAGTAATAAGGAGGACGTCTACAGTTGAGTTTGTAAGGAAAAAAAAGAAATAAGAAAGCAGGGCTGCCTGGATGGCTCAGTTGGTTAAGCATCTGCCTTCAGCTCAGGTCATGATCCCAGGGTCCTGGGATCGAGTCCTGCGTCAGGCTCCCTGCTCAGCGGGGAGCCTGCTTCTCCTCTCCCTCTGCCCCTCCCCCACTCTCTCTCTCCCTCTCTTGCAAAAGTAAATAAATAAAAAAATCTTAAAAAAAAAAAAAAGGAAAGAAAGAAGAAAGTATATGTGTATATCCCTGCAAGGGTTGGGGGCGGGGCACAGAGTAGAAGGGATGGGAGGGGTTGGCACTTTTCTTCAGGTACCTTTTTATACGGTTTAGACTATTAGAATAATGTCAATGTTCTATATATTCAAAAATAAAATTAAATGAACAAGATGAGGAAAGCCCTAAAAGCAAATGAAAAGAAAAGCAAAGGAGCTCAAATGTATTTCAAATAGATAACATGACCACACTGTAGGGGAGGAAAAGGATTAACCCAAGGAACTTTCGAACCCAGTACTTGGACAATATACCCCCAGTTTTAAGAATAAAAGACCACAAAGAAACCTTGAAGACTTCTTTTCAGGCATGTTTTTCAAAGTGGAGTGGGTATAGCGAACATGATATTATTTATATGTTTCTTAGGGTTAAGCAAGAAGAGAGACACACATATGGAATGGGGAAGCAAGAAAGAATCCTATGGGGTAGAGTATGAATTGGAGATATAAAATGTGACTGGGTGGCTCAGTCGGTCAAGTGTCCGACTCCTGATTTCAGCTCAGGTCATGATCTCAGGATCCTGGAATCAAGCCCCGCGTGAGGCTCCGTGCTCAGCGTGGAGTCTGCTTGAGATTCTCTCTCTCCCTCTCCCTCTGCCCCTATCCCTGCTTTTGCTCTCTCTCTAAATAAAATAAATAAAATCTTCAAAAAATTATAACTGGAGGTATAAACATATGGTTTCTAGTACATTCCTAGTGTCTAGGTATACCTGAGACCATTTGAAATCTAAACAAATGCAAACATGCATACATATACATTTATAATACGATCAGTAGTGGATTAACGTGCACTAAATAAAATTGAGTTCATGAATCTATACTAAGAATGTTGATAAATATGAAAGGAATATGGATTTAGACCATCATCCTAAAAACTGATTCAGGCAAGAGTGTTCAATGGATATACATCTCAGCGGGGTGGGGGGGTG